AAACTCACACTATAACCTTGCAACACTTTATTCTGTCTTAGTGCCTGTGACTCCTAAAGAAAAAGTCAAACCAGCACCAACAAAAAAAGGTAAACACACTGGTCTGTTGGCATTTTTGCACATCATAATCATGTGAGAATAAACTGCATCAACTGCAACTGTGATAACTCTGTTAAAACTGTGCTGATTTGTGTTGCCATGATTCATGTTTATGCTTTTTTTCTCACAGAGGCAGAAGTTCCACCCAAAAATGTCACTCTGACGAAGGAGAAGGTGAAGGTGGTGCCACTGAAGAAAGGTACATCTAGTTGTTTACAGCGAACTTAAATGTTTTTTTCTGGTCACCTCTACACTTCAGTTTTATTTTTAACATCTTTTATGAGTTCTGAAGTCTTTCACAAACTCTTACTTTAACTGTGTAACACTTTTTCTGTCTTAGTTCCTGTGACGCCAAAAGAAAAAGTCAAACCAGCACCAACAAAAACAGGTAAATACAGCGACTGAACTTTTTATATGTGCAATAATTAGATGACCTAATGTGGTCATTATTAATTAATAACTTAATTTCTTGATTTCATGTATAAATGTTTCCCTCTTCTATACGTTTGTCCCGTATTACCACTTTACAAGTCTGTTTGCAGATTTTGCACAGCCTCAGTCTGGAAATTAGTCGTAACTGTAATATTAACAATCAGACTGTTGCCATATATGAACCTTTGCAGGAAACTGCACTGATTTTTGTTGCTATGATTTGATTTAGAAGCTAAAGTTGTCAAGGAGAAGAAGGCTGAGCCAGTGACTCCCAAGAAAGGTTTGTCTCTTTTTCATTTTTTACCAATAATATAAATTTAACAGTTGTTCTGTACATTAGAGTTAATCAGACCATTTGTTATTTTAGCGCCTGTTAACAAGATAAGGCTTGTTAGTCGTTCACAGTTGTTGGTTCTCTTTTATTTTTTTACACATATTATTATTATTTACACATATTATGTAGTACAGCTTTCTTTTTTTATAAACTGTACATTAGAGTTCATCAGACCTGTAGAAACACTATTTGCACTCCTGTTGGGAAATGAATCCAGTCACCACAGGTTTTCCATATCGCTGTGAAAGCATCGGCAGAGTGCAGTTTATTTTGGAGTAGCAATGGAGGAGTTGTGAAACCAATCATAAGCTCTTTTTTTTCTGTCTTAGAGCCTGTAACTCCAAAAGAAAAAGCCAAACCAGCACCAACAAAAAAAGGTAGATAAAGCGATTTATTTTTGGTCAAAAATTTAGATGACCTAATGTAGTCAGTATTAATATGACCTTCACTGCCTGCATATTGATTTTATGTCTAAATGTTTTCATTTCTTATGCATGTTTGTCTGCTGTCACCTTTTTACAACACGTCTGTCTGCAGACTTTTCACAGCATAATAATATGAGAATAAACTGCATCCGTTGTAACTGTAATAATAATAAACCAAATGTTTTCACATGTAATCATTAGCAGGACACTGAACTGATTGTTGCTGTTATTTGTTTTAGAAGCTGAAGTTGTCAAGGAGAAGAAGGCTGAGCCAGTGACTCCCAAGAAAGGTTTGTTCCTCTGATATTTTTACCCATATTATATATAATACAGTTGTTTCTTCCTGGTTGACCCCCTTATGCTATACTGTACATGAGAGTTAATCAGATCATTTATTATTCTAGCCCCTGTTATTAAGGCAAAACCAACACCTGCTAAAAAGAAGAAAGGTATACAGAGGACCTGTGTGTTTGTAGTGTTTAGCTGCACCATAGTTCTTTTAATAGATTATATCAACTGTAGAAAATATTTGCACTACTGTTGGAAAATGTTTTTTCCTGAATATATGTAGTTCAAATAATTTTCCATCTAAACATCCACTGACTACAATCTGCAACTCTGTCTGCAGATCTTACTCAGCATCATAGTGTGACAATGAACTGTATCAGTTGTAACTGTAATAATAACAATCACACTGTTACTAAATGAAAACCTGGAAAACTGAACTGATTTTTATTTTTATTTTTTTTACTTTAGAAGCTGAAGTTGTCAAGGAGAAGAAGGCTGAGCCAGTGACTCCCAAGAAAGGTTTGTCTCTCTTTTATTTTTGGCCATATTATATATAATACAGTTGTTTTTTCTGGCTTCTCACCTTTCTATATACTGTACATTAGAGTTAATCAGATCATTTATTATTCTAGCACCTGTTACTAAGGCCAAACCAACACCTGATAAAAAGAAGAAAGGTATACAGAGGACCTGTGTGTTTGTAGTGTTTAGTTAAAACGTAGTTCTTCTTATGAATTACTTCTGCTGTAGAAAATTATTTGCACTACTATTGGAAAATATTTTTTCCTGAATATATGTAGTTCAAATAATTTTTCATCTAAACATCTACTGACTCTGTTTGCAGATCTTACTCAGCATCATAGTGTGACAATGAACTGCATCACTTCTAACTGTAATATTAACAATCACACTGTTGCTAAATGAAAACCTGGAAAACTGAACTGATTTTTATTTTTATTTTTTTTTACTTTAGAAGCTGAAGTTGTCAAGGAGAAGAAGGCTGAGCCAGTGACTCCCAAGAAAGGTTTGTCTCCTTTCAGTCTTCCATATAACAGTAGTTTCTTCATGGTTTCTCCCTTTTGTATATCCGTACATTAGAGTTAATCAGATCATTTATTATTTCAGCCCCTGTTACTGAGGCCAAACCAACACCTGCTAAAAAGAAGAAAGGTAAACAGCAGAAACATGTTTGCCGTGTTGAGTTGTAACATAGTTCTNAAACTCACACTATAACCTTGCAACACTTTATTCTGTCTTAGTGCCTGTGACTCCTAAAGAAAAAGTCAAACCAGCACCAACAAAAAAAGGTAAACACACTGGACTGGTTGCATTTTTGCCCATCATCATAATGTGAGAATAAACTGCATCAACTGTGATAACTGTTTTCATTTACAGATCTCTGCAGAAAGCTGTGCTGATCTTTGTTGCCATGATTCATGTTTATGCTTTTTTTCTCACAGAGGCAGAAGTTCCACCCAAAAACGTCACTCTAACGAAGGAGAAGGTGAAGGTGGTGCCACTGAAGAAAGGTACATTTAGTTGTTTACAGCGAACTTAAATGTTTGTTTTCTGTTCACCTCTAAACTTCAGTTTTATTTTTAACATCCATTTATAAGTTCTGAAGCCGTTCACAAACTCTTACTTTAACTGTGTAACACTTTTTCTGTCTTAGTTCCTGTGACGCCAAAAGAAAAAGTCAAACCAGCACCAACAAAAACAGGTAA